CACAAGAGCACACTCGCGCGTTCATGTCAGAATCCTACCGAACACCGTGTGTTTGCAAGCATTTCAACATAAAAACATCAAAAACCCAATGCTTTTTCACAAAAATGCTTTGGGGTGTCCTGTCAGACCGTCGGGCTTCCTCCGGCCACCTCTGGCTTCCTGCGGTGTACCGGGCCATTCTCGACTCGTCTGGCAATGCGTGCGCGGCATTCAACACGCGCTCGCCAGTTCCCGTCGGCAACCGCCATCGCGGCCGCATCAGCTGTACCAAACCGGCTGGCCGGTGTGACTTCGGCCCCCAGTTGTGCCAGCTTTGCTTCTTATGTTGTGGGAGGGCGGGTGGGACTGGGCATGCCATGCTTGACTCGCTCGAGCTGGCTAGCTTGACTCCTACTCCTACTCCTACTCCTACTCTCTCCTCCTATCCTTATTCCTTATTAGAATATACTCCTACTCCCCCCTCAGGCCGGCCGTTAGGGGCCGCATCCGGGTGGTCCCATCCTAACCTGTAAAAAACAATACAAAATCAACATTTTTCTTATTTTTTCCTCTCGACATGGACGTCCTGTCGTCCACGGCGATAATCCATTGCAAAAAATACCACAAAGAGCACACGCGCGCGTTCATGTCAGAATCCTACCGAACACCGTGTGTTTGCAAGCATTTCAACATAAAAACATCAAAAACCCAATGCTTTTTTCACAAAAATTGTACAAATTTCCCGCCCGGGCTCTCTTGCTGAAATCATAGGAAAACCATAGGAATCTTAAGAATTCGGTCAAATCCAGCGATTTCACGTCATCGCGCGGTGCACTCGCGATGCTCTGTCATGCACCCAGGCCGCGAATCCTGTGCAAAAAATACCACAAAGAGCACACTCGCGCGTTCATGTCAGAATCCTACCGAACACCGTGTGTTTGCAAGCATTTCAACATAAAAACATCAAAAACCCAATGCTTTTTCACAAAAATGCTTTGGGGTGTCCTGTCAGACCGTCGGGCTTCCTCCGGCCACCTCTGGCTTCCTGCGGTGTACCGGGCCATTCTCGACTCGTCTGGCAATGCGTGCGCGGCATTCAACACGCGCTCGCCAGTTCCCGTCGGCAACCGCCATCGCGGCCGCATCAGCTGTACCAAACCGGCTGGCCGGTGTGACTTCGGCCCCCAGTTGTGCCAGCTTTGCTTCTTATGTTGTGGGAGGGCGGGTGGGCTGGGCATGCCATGCTTGACTCGCTCGAGCTGGCTAGCTTGACTCTTACTCTTACTCTTACTCTTACTCTTACTCTTACTACTACTACTACTACTACTACTACTACTACTACTACTACTACTACTACTACTACTACTACTACTACTACTACTACTACTACTACTACTACTACTACTACTACTACTACTACTACTACTACTACTACTACTACTACTACTACTACTACTACTACTACTACTACTACTACTACTACTACTACTACTACTACTAACTACTACTACTACTACTACTACTACTACTGACTACTACTACTACTACTACTACTACTACTACTAACTACCTACTCATCCCCTCTTCCCCTCCTCCTACCATCCGCCCTCCTGCTCCCTCCGCTCCCTCTGTCCCCCACCTTCTCCACCTCCTCCTCCCCCTCCTCCCCCGGCCCCTCCTCCTCCCTCTCCCCCTCCCCGCCCCCGTCTGTCCTGCTCCGTACGTTCGGGTTATCTCTGAGATTCCTCTCTGATCTTTATTGAAAGATTGCACGTCCCCAAATTGACGTTATCTTGTTGGTGTCTTTAATGCCCAGTTGGTAGAAGGCTGAGCCTCGCTCTGAATGTCAGTCGTTCGGGCCCCTGTGAAAGTCACGCATTTTAGAAGACGGATAACAGGAGGAGGACAAAGGACAAAGTTCAAAACTCCTTCTCCCCCCCCCCCTCCCTCCTCCCGCCTCCTCCTCCCCCTCCTCCTCGTCCTCCTCCCTCCTCCCTCCCTCCTCCCTTCTCTTCCTTCGTCGCCGCCTCTCTCGTCGCCGTCGCCGTCGTCGCCGTCGCCGTCGTCGCGGTCCTCCTGGTCGCCGTCGTCACGGTCCTCCTCTTTCTTCTCCTCCTCCGTCTCCCCCCCGTTCGCACGGGCGACGGCCTGCGGCGGGCGCCCCGCCGGCTCCCCGGCGCGGCCGCGGGCTCGAGCCCGCCGCGGGCGCGCGGGCACGGGCGCGGCAAAAGCGCGTCCCCTCCCTTGCCCCCGCCCTCCTCCTGCTTGTCCCCACCCCCCCTCCCCTCCTGCTCCGCCTCCTCCTCCTCCTCCTCCTCCTCCACCCCTCCTCCTTTTGTTCCTCCTTTTCCCGCAGCTCCTCCTCGTCTTCCTCCTCCTCCTTCTCCGCTGGGCCCAGGGCAAAGGTCAATGAAGGTACCTCAGGGTGGATCGAGATCCGCCACCGTGCCTCGGGCACGGAGTGGGCGTGTCCTCGGGCCGATTGCCTCAATCCTCATCCTGAAGAGTCTTGAAACGACCGGGACTCCGAATTCTCAACTCTATCGGGGCTTCCCGCGTCAACCAAGAAAACCCAAAGACGGGCCACGACGACGGGCCCCAAACAGCGCCCACGTCGGGCCAAAACGGCCCCGAGACGGGCAAAGATGGACTCAAGACGCTCCAGATCGACCCAAGACGCCCACAAAAGACTCCAACACGACCGCAGAGGCCTCGAACAGGACTCCCAGGAAGGGCCCAAAGGCCGACATCATCCAATTCGTCTAGAAAACAATAATTTTTCCATATACGACTTGTCGGCCTCCACGGCGTTCAAGACGATCCGGGAGCCCCCCCCTGCCGCCCCAAGATGGGACCCCTACAAACCTACAAGAGCCACAAACGATTCAACAAGGCACGGTGGCGGGACGACACGGGAGAGGAGAGAGATAGAGAGACAGAGAGAGAAAGAGAGGAAAAAACACACGCACACACAAAAACACGCCCACACACACACACACACGCACATTCGACCCGGGCTCCCGCTCGTTCCGTATCGCGTTCCAGCTGCAGCGCTGCCCTCGTCTACAATTACTCCATATGAACACTACCCCCCTCTCTCCACCAATGTTGCGGGAAAGGCTCGCAGCGACACCTGAAAACAAGAAAAACACAAGGCCTCATTTGGGGTCGGCGGCAGAGGCGGCAGCCTTAAGATTTCCGACTTCGTCAACGGAAACCTAAATAAACAACAATCAATGATTACTGCGTCTTGTACGGCATATTCCGTAATTTATTCCGTAAATGATTCGGACAACCATATAGGCAAAACGCGAATGGATCGGTAAACCAACATCCGTAGAAAAAACGCAAATCGGTAAGCACGGGCATTGTGACAACTATAGATTCCAAACGATATCGATAGATATTACACACAATCTCGACGGATATTGCACCGAAACCGGAACCGATACATACCGAATTTGATGAAACCGTTGTTAAAATACCAACTACGTTTCCGCCTCTTGGTAGAGCTATGCCAGGACGCACGTGCTGGGACATATGGTCAATATTTCCTCACGCATGGAGAACACATAAGAACCATGTTACCATACAGTATCGCTATTGGCTGGATTACGAATCGGGGAAACCAGCAACTCAGGCCCGCCGCCGGAATTCGAAGGATCACGCCAACGTGCAGTGGATGCTTAGGGATGGGTATTGTGTACACCCGATGCAAATTGATGCAAGGTTGGCGCAACGACCCAATGCCAGTCAGTTCTCATTCGGGGCTAGACGAACTCCTGAAGCAGCCCGCTGGATTTATCGATTATACAAAAATTGTTTTTTTTCGGAAGGACTTTTACTCGAAGGTATGCTGTCAACTCCTCCCATTCACGGGAACCCCCGATCTTGAGGCACCATTGGCATGCGATGTCGGGGGAACTTGCATTTTTGACGACGACGACAATGACGAAGTACCATGTAGATTCCAACACCTTCTTCCTAAAGGGGCCGATACATGCATGTCAACCTTCGTATCGGTCCACGTAGCCACCGACATTCCGCCAACGACATCATAGTAATACGGCAACGCGGGATTCAATATTTACCAAAAGGTCCGGTATTGCTTGATGCATCGAATTCGGTATCGGCGTAATTGATTATGGTATGGTTTTATGAAAACAATATCATTCCGTACGTGTGCTGCACACGTACATAATGGATGCACAATCATCATTCCTACGCGTGCTGCAATCCGATGGCGCACGGTGTGCAACCGGATTGCGTTTGGACTATCCGTCTTCGGAAAACCGTTCCCGTTTATTTGCCTTGTCAATGAGCGCGCACAATAATATTTAAGCAAAACTCTTCTGTAACCATTTCGGCCGAACTTTGCATTTCCGTCCGGAACTCGAACCTTCGTGTTCTATCCCTGCCCTCAATGTGAACGTGGTTATGATTTTCACTGTACTTGTTGTGGGAGCGATGGAGAAGCGAAAACGTTGTAATTCTGGCATTTGAACGCAGGAGCAACTGGCACGGTACCGGAGAGAAGGGCCCCAATGTGATGGTATGGGTGTAACAATCACTGCCCAACGATTCGTTATCGAAATGGGGAAATATAGAGCGGAAGGCATCCATGCGCGGTGCGTGCACGCGCCGTGCCGCTAATCGCTGCCTCAATGTAATGAGGCCTGCTGCGGTTTGACGCCCCGGTCCAAGAAACCCAGGCGGCAAGGACCATGAACTCTCATTGTGCATCCTGTGAGCAGTTGAACCAGATACAGCTCCACGCCCTCCACGCCCTCCTCGCCCTCCTCCTCCTCCTCCTCCTCCTCTTCCTCCTCCTCGCCCCCTCCTCCTCCTCCTCCTCCCCTCCTCCTGCTCCCCTCCTCCTCCTCCTCCTCCTCCCCTCCCCCTCCTCCTCCCTCCCCCTCCTCCTCCTCCTCCTCATCCTCCTCCCCCTCCTCCTCCTCCCCCCTCCTCCTCCTCCTCCTCTTCCTCCTCCTCCTCCTCCTCCTCCTCCTCCTCCTCGGAAGCCGCACTTTCTGGGCAATCCCAGCGGGCCTCTGCCCCTCGCCAGCACGACGAGGAGCCCCAAATGTCCATCGCGCTCCCACGGGCTTCTGCGGCCTGCGGCCGCGCACGGCCGCCCCACCCCACCCCCCTTCGGGCGCTCCCAGGGGCGTCCTTGGCCCAAAGGTGCCCCCAGGGGGGGGGGGAAAGAGGAGGAGGAGGAGGAGGAGGAGGAGGAGGAGGAGGAGGAGGAGGAGGAGGAGGAGGAGGAGGAGGATAAGGAGGACGAGTAGTAGGAGGAGGAGGATAAGGAGGAGGGGGAGGCGAGGAGGAGGAGGAAGAGGAGGATGAGGAGGAAGAGGAGAAAGTCCCCGCGCGGCCTCCAGGGCAACCCTCACCAAGGCCCAGAGAAGGCACCAGGGGCTCCAAAAGGCAGCGGAAAGCCGAGGACATCTGGGCGACGAAAAGAAGCGAGCCTCACGCGAGACGACATACCAACCAAACGCCGCGGATAACGTGGGTGGCACACCGCGTGGAATAGAGGGCGCTTACGCGAAAGTCCGCGCAATACACTCCGTTTCCTGCCATCGTTCACCGTGGGCCAGGGACCCCCCGTGACTGGAGAACAGCCACACATCTGGCAGCGGCGCCCCCGCGCCATGCCACCCCCGCGCGCCCTTAGCGCAGCGGCGGCCAGTTCTGGTGCAGTAGCAAGTCAGGGACAGAGGCAGCACGCCATGTTTCGGGGCTTCCAGTGAGCGGGCATTCAGCCGCCGCAGGTGCGACCAGGGCATTGGTGCGACAGGCGGCACTGGGCGTATTCAGCCGCCGCAGCAGCCAGGGCACAGCGTGAAGACCAAGAATCGGCGCATGCATAGACTCTCAGAGGTCCGCGCGGATCTCTTGGATTGGCGCTGTACCCCCCTGGCGGCGCATCTGACGCAGTCTCTGGCGCGCACAACACGCTGGGATAAGGGGTCCACCGCTGATCCCAAACATCCGCGCGGACCTTCGAAAGTTGACGGCTACGCAGTCCTCAATATTCCAGAAACGTTGGACGAATCTCCCCCGCATCCTATTTCTGTTCCCCCTCCCTGGTGCGCGGAGCTCGCCAGGGGGCCCAGCGCAGATCCCCAAAGTCCGCGCGGACCTGAGAGAGTCGGTGCTTGCATCAGGTCGGGCATGTCCACCTACAGGCTGATTTTGTGCGACAAATAAACCATAGCCAAAACAAATCCAAACATAAGCAAACATGATAAACAAATCGTCCCCAAACTATTTTTGACTATTCTTGAAAATTCCTCCTGTAGAGGGACATGCCCGACTTAATGCTTGCGCAATTGCACACTCTTGGACGCCGGGGCGCCGTAGAGGTGTGGCCAGGGCCCTCAGCAGCTCCTCAATGACGCTGGGCATATTATTCAGCCGGCCGCAGGTGTGGCCGAGCACGGGTGCGACAAGCGTTGCCGCCATGAAAGGACGGACTTGCCGTGAGGGAGCTAAATGGTCCAGGACGCGATGGGATCCTGAGAAGCCTTGCGAATCCGGAATTCGAGCAAATGGGGCAGGATTGGGTCGAAGATCGCGCCGCATCGCCGGCGCATCGCCGACGCAGCAGCGACGCATCGGTGACGCGTCGGCGGTGCATCGGCGACGTCGCCGAGGAGAAAGCCAGGCTTCACATCGAGCCGCGTCACCGATGCAGCGGCGATGCGGCGCGATCCTCCGACCCTATCTACCCAGACAGCCGCCGATCTGATTTTTCCCCATACCCAAAGCATGGGGTTCTTGTTCCCCAGATCCAAAAGATCTTCTCGTTATTATTCCGACCGCGCCGACGCCTTCAGAACCTCCATCCTCCGTCTCCTCCTCCTCCTCCTCCTCATGTCGTGGTATGGTGTGCTATGTTATGTTCTAGGGATTATGTTATGATATGCTATTTCATGTTACAATGCATTATGCTATGTGCTGTCTTGTTCTGCTATGCTGTGTTAGATTATGTTTTTTCTGTTACATGATGATGTGTCAGAATATGATCTGTTATGTCAGGTTGTAACAGGTAGTGTCTGTTATGTCATGCTATGCTGTGATGATGGTGATGATGCCGATGGCGATGATGATGGCAATGATGATGACGATGATGATGATTCCGATGATGATGATGATGATGATGATGATGATGATGATGATGATGATGATGATGATTATGATGATGATGATGATGAGGATGATGATGATAATGCTGGTGATGATGTTGTGGTTGTTCTTGTTGTTGATGATGATGATGATGGCGAAACAAGTGCTGAGGATGTCTCGAGCGAAGCGCGGATTTAAGCACCCCCAAAGGGGAGCCGCCAGGGGGTATTGCACTCCTTCGTTCGCTCCAAAATGGCGGGGATGCCTCGAAAGGTTTGCCTCTTTGCTGCCCCAACGTCCTCCGCTTTCGGAACAGATTTCGAGGACGTCTCGAACGATGCGCTGGTTTTCGGCCCCAAGGGGGGGGCCGCCAGGGGGTATCTCATTACCCGACAGCTTTTGCTGATGTGTTTCTAGTGGGCTCAAAAGAAAGAGCATCTTGACGCCCCAAAGGGGTCTGGGCAGGATTCGGACAGACCTGGACAGATCCGGACAGCCCCAGGAATCCATAGGAATCCTCAGGAATTCTGAAGAATCCTTAGGAATCCATTCCCAGAATACCATTCCCAGGCCACATTTTGAATACCCGGAACCAACTGTAGGCCGCTTCGTGTTCTTCGTGTTCCCAGAACACCATTCCCAGGCCACATTTTGAATGCCCGGAGCCAACTGTAAGCTACTTCGTGTTCTTCGTCTTCCCAGAACACCATTCCCAGGCCACATTTTGAATGCCCTGAGCATGCTGCAGGCCACTTCGTGTTCTTCGTCTTCCCAGAACACCATTCCCAGGCCACATTTTGAATGCCCGGAGCCAACTGTAGGCCACTTCGTGTTCTTCGTCTTCCCAGAACACCATTCCCAGGCCACATTTTGAATGCCCGGAGCCAACTGTAGGCCACTTCGTGATCTTCGTGTTCCCGGAACACAATTCTTGTACCATATTTCGATTGCCCGGAGCCAACTGTGGGCCACTTCGTGATCTTCGTGTTCCCAGAACACCAGTACTGTGCCATATTTTGAATGCCCGAGCTGAGGCAGGCTGAGGCTGAGGCAGGCTGAGGCCGAGGCAGGCTGAGGCTGAGGCTGAGGCACGCCGAGGCAGGCTGAGGGGCAGGCTGAGGCTGAGGCTGAGGCAGGCTGAGGCTGAGGCTGACGCAGGCTGAGGCCGAGGCAGGCTGAAGTTGAGGCTGAGGCAGGCTGAGGCTGAGGCAGGCTGAGACTGAGGCTGAGGCAGGCTGAGGCTGAGGCTGAGGCTGATGCAGGCTGAGGCTGAGAGGCTGACGCTGAGGCTGAGGCAGGCTGAGGCTGAGGCTGAGGCGAGGCAGGCTGAGGCTGAGGCTGAGGCAAGCCGAGGCAGGCTGAGGCTGAGGCTGAAGCTGAGGCAGGCTGAGGCTGAGGCTGAGGCTGTGCTGAGTCTGTGGCTGAGCCAAGCGGCGGCCTGAGGCAGGCTAGGCTGATGCTGATGCCAGCCTGAAGGCTGAGGCAGGCTGAGGCTGAGGCTGAGGCAGGCTGAGCTGAGGCTGAGGCTGAGGCAGGCTGAGGCTGAGGCCGATGCAGGCTGAGGCTGAGAGGCTGACGCTGAGGCTGAGGCAGGCTGAGGCTGAGGCTGAGGCCGAGGCAGGCTGAGGCTGAGGCTGAGGCAAGCCGAGGCAGGCTGAGGCTGAGGCTGAAGGCGAGGCAGGCTGAGGCTGAGGCTGAGGCTGTGGCTGAGCTGAGGCAGGCTGAGGCAGAGGCTGAGGAAGGCTGATGCTGAGGCAGGCTGAGGCTGAGGCTGAGGCTGATGCAGGCTGAGGCTGAGGCAAGCTGAGGCTGAGGCCGAGGCTGAAGGCAGACTGAGGCTGAGGCTGAAGCAGGCTGCGGCTGAGGCTGAGGCAGGCTGAGGCTGAGGCTGAGGCAGGCTGATGCTGAGGCAGGCTGAGGCTGGAGGCTGAGGCTGATGCAGGCTGAGGCTGAGGCAGGCGGAGGCTGAGGCAGGCTGAGGCTGAGGCTGAGGCTGTGGCTGAGGCTGAGGCAAGCTGCGGCTGAGGCAGGCTGAGGCTGAGGCCGAGGCAGGCTGAGGCTGAGGCTGAGGCTGAGGCTGTGGCTGAGGCTGAGGCTGAGGCTGAGGCTGAGGCCGAGGCAAGCCGAGGTAGGCTGAGGCTGAGGCTGAGGCTGAGGCTGATGCTGAGGCAGGCTGAGGCTGAGACAGGCTGAGGCTGAGGCTGAGGCAGGCTGAGGCTGAGGCAGGGCGAGGCTGAGGCCGAGGCAAGCGAATCCTTCGGAATCCTTATGATTCCATCGGAATCCTCAGGAATCCCTAGGATGCAGGATTCCTAAGGATTCCTAAGGTTTCCTAAGGATTCCATTGGATCCTAAGGCCGTTGCCACTGCGACTGTCATTGCGAATGCGAGTGCGACTGCGAGAACAGCAGAATTCTACAACTGAATTCTCACCTGAATTCTACAACAAGGGAATGCTTCCAGATATGCTTATACACATCGCTGTCAGGTTGCTTTGCCAAGATATTTTTGTCGCTCGGGCCCAGATTGCGGGGATGCCTCGAACGGTTAGCCTGTGTCCTGCACCAACATTCTCCGCTTTCGGAGCAGATCCGGTTCTGGTATGTTATGGCATGCATGTCATCGTATGCCATGGCATGCGATAAATATACATATATATATATATATATATATATAAAATTATGGTGTAGTCTGATATGAAATGCTATGCTCTGTGACAGTCTACTATGCTACGCATTGTCATGTTATGGCATGCGATGCTATATTATGCTGTATTATGTTATGGTATGCTATGCCATGACATCCCATGCTATGTAATGTTATGCTATGCCGTGCTATGCTCTGTTATGCTATGACATGCTATGCTATGGCATGTCATGTTTTGTCATGCTACAATATGGTATGATTTTGCATGACGTGTTATGGTATGACATATTATGACATGTAATGATGATGCTGGTGGTCATGATGATGATGGTGGTGGTGATGGCGGAGCAAATTCTGAAGATGTCTCGAGAGAGGCGCGGGTTTAAGCACCCCCAAGAGGGAGCCGCCAGGGTGTATCTCACCCCCTCCGTTCGCGCCACAATGGTGGGGACGCCTCGAGCGGTTTGCCTGTTTCTGGCCCCAACATCCTCCGCTCTCGGCGCCGGTTTTCGCCCCCAAGGGGGGCCCGATTTTGAGGACGTTTCGATCGGTTTGCGTGTTTTGGTGGCCAGACTCGTGGGCACGGATTCTTCCCAAGATGCCACAGGCGGCTCCAGCAGAGGAGGGCCGAGGAGGAGGAGGGAGGAGGAGGAGGAGGAGGAGGAGGAGGGGGAGGAGGAGGAGGAGGGAGGAGGAGGGGAGGAGGAGGAGGAGAGGAGGAGGAGGAGGAGGAGAGGGGGGGAGGAGGAGGAGGGTGGGGGATATTATTATGTCCTGATTATTCATTAGGCGTTAGGATGTGGAGTATGGATGAGGAGTGAGTATTCGGAGGCGAGGAGGATGAGGATGATAGTACATCTACTTCTCTGATGCCCAATTAGAGTCCACAGCATTTCCCTTTCTTCATCCTTATGCCGCCATGAAATCTCAAGGTGGCCCCCCCAGAGCCCCAGCTCTCCAAGAGGCCTCAGGAGGCTCCAGGATGCTCCAGGAGGCCCCAGGAGGGAACAGGAAGCGCCAGGAGGCACCAGGAGGCCCCAGAGGGCGCCAGGAGGCCCCAAGAGGCACGAGGAGCAGGAGGCCTCAGAAGGCCACATGAGTGGCTTCAGTCCCATGTGTTTTACGTCTGCTCCTATAGATTGGGCATCCCCTGGAGCACGAATCCTTGATATTTTACATTTGTTTCTATAGATTGTCCTTCTCCGGTGGATCCAACCCTGAGTGTTTTGCATCTGTTCCTACAGATCGGCCTCCCCTGGGGCACGAGTCCTTGGTGTTTTCACGTGTGCGCCTGCAGATTGCCGCTCTCCTGTGTCTCCAATCCGAAGTGTTTTCCGCCTGTTCCTACGGATTGGGCCTCTCCTGGGGCACGAATCCTTCCCAGGACGCCCCAGGAGGCTCCAGGAGGCCTCAGGAAGCCACAGGAGGGCACACGAGGCCTCAGGAGGCCGCAGGAAGCCCCAAGAGGCCGCAGGAGGCCCCAAGAGGCTCCAGAAGGCCCCAGGAAGCGCCAGGAGGCCCCAGGCTGATGCGCAGAGATGCGCCCGTACTACTCAGACTCATTCACTCTCCAACTCATCCACAGCTAGATTCGCTCCCAGACCGTCAATACTCAAACCCGTCTATATTCGAAAACTCTTGCGCCTACACGCTCACGGCAGACAGGTCCGTGCTAACAGATGCACGTATGGGGAGCTTTAGGTCAGGCAGGTCCCCCTACAGGCCGATTTTGTAATTATTTGAACAATAGTCAAACAATACTCCAAAATAGCAAAAAATGGCCAACATATCGTCCCCAGACCATTTTTTGACTGCTCCTCCTGCACAGGGACGTGCCCGACTTAAGGGGAGCTCCGCGCTGGGGCCCGCGGCGTCGCTATCGGGGACCCTGTCGCCGATCGATTGGCGACGTACTGCCCGTGCACACTGGAGGCATGCTCCCCCTGAGCTGGTCTCAGAGGCGGGCCAGTTGAGGCCACGGCGGCTTTCCCGCCCAGTCCAGACCCACGCGCCCATCATAATTGCAGACAGCAGTGACCGAAATTGAACACACTTCATCCGCACCCAGGAGAGACACGCAGGAACAAAAGCAAAAAACAAAAAATCGGTCCCCCGACCCACTCAACCCCTGCCGGGATCCATCCTGGCCACGCCTTCGAGGCGGATCCAGCCGTGGCGGCGAGGAGCCTCCGGGAGGCCCGCGTCCGCGGCCCCGAGGGCTCCGACCCTCTCACCGTGGGCAGGCTTGGCCCGCACGCCGGATCCGCTTCTGGTGGCCCGCAGGGCACGGCCCCCGAAGGTTCAGGCCGGGCCTGTCCTCCTACGGGAGGATGTTGGAAGAGAAGTGGGAGCAATCAACGCCAGGCTGCAGAACCAGATCCTCGGAGAGATTGGGATAGAGGAGGAGGGGGAGGAGGAGGAGGAGGAGGAGGAGGAGGAGTAATCAGTAGGAGGGTTATGAGGAGGGAAGGGAGGAGGGAGGAAGGAGGGGAGGAGGAGGAGGAGGAGGAGGAGGAGGAAGAGGGAGGCCGAGGATGAGGAGGAGGAGGAAGGAGGAGAGGGGGGCAGGAAGGAGTGGGTAGGAGGAGGAGGAGGAGGAGGAGGAGGAGCTCCATCTGGGGCCTCCCCTGGGAGCCCGCGCTCTCCCAGCGGCCCCGTGGGGCCTTGTAGTTACGGTGAACTTAGACTCGCTCCGCGGCGACACCGTCAGCGCATCCTGGTGAGAATGGGGTGGAACTGCTGCTTGTCTTCTAAAGGAAGAAAGACTGACACAAACATAAAACTCGGAGGTCCGCGCGGATTTCTTGGATCCGCGCAGGACCCTCCTCCCTGGCGCGCGGAGCGCGCCAGGGGCGGCGCCGCCAGGGGGCGTCAGCGCCGATTCGAGAAATCCGCGCGGACCTCAGAGTTTTCTGCTTATGTCATTTTTCGTTCCCCTATCTTCGTCACCTCTCTTCTGGTCCCCACCTCCACCGCACCGAGAAGCGGCGAGGAAGCTGCAGGACCCGCTCTCCTCCAGGGACCCCTTCCAGAGATCCGATGCCTTGCCTCTTCCATATGGTTAGGTCGGGCACGTCTCCCCACAGGCAGATTTTGGACGAGCAAAGGAACAAAAAAGGTGCGCAACAACAGCCAGACATCATAGAAAAGTCGTCCCCAGACTATTTCTGGACTACCTTTGAATTTTCCTCCTGTAGAGGGACATGCCGCCTTGACCAGAATCGCGACCCGCTCCCCGGGGCCAAATCTCCGCCACGAGCCGTTTTCCGACAGCCCCTGGGCCCAGTGAGGGCCCCCAGGAGGCCCAGAACGGCGAAGAGGCCTCTGCCCGAGTTCTGCCAAGACGCTGGCGGATGCCTGGGATCTCTCCCTCGTGAGCAGGCGGGGGACCTCACGCCAGGCCAGGGCTCGTGCCGGCAGGAGGAGGAGGAGGATACTGAAGGAAGGAGGACTTAGGAGATGGGAGGATGAGGAGGAGGAGAGGAGGAGGGGAGGGTGGAGGGGGAGGAGGAAAGTAGCGTGTAGGGGGGGAGGAGGAGGGGGAGGAGGAGGGGGAGGAGGAGGAGGAGGAGGAGGAGGAGGAGGAGGAGGAGGAGGAGGAAGAGGAGGAGGAGGAGGTCGGGGACGGCGGGGCGCACTCCCTGGGCTCGCTCTCCGAGCCGCCTCTCATGGTCCGGCACGACAGGTGGCGCGAGGCGTTGGAGGAGGGCGAGCTGAGGCATCGGCATCTCGCCACCGGCGCTCCGACCACTGCCAGGGCCCAGAGGCCACAGGGCTCGGAGCTGCGTCCCGCCGCGGCGACTCCGAGGGGCCCCCGGAGCCCCGAGAGCCGACTGCAGCAGACAAGCTGCACCAGCGCAGAACCAATCCACCGGAGCCCAGCCCCCCTGAAGGGGCCCACGAACGCACAAATAAATACACACGAATAAAACGATGCCCCATATTTTCCCATATTTTCTGGGTCTTTGTCTTCCCCCCCACTTCCTATATTTTCCCATATTTTCTGGGGAATCGCCGATTAATGGTGTCTGTTTTTTTTTTTTCCCTCCTGACCCCCATCTTTCTGCTGCACCTTCCGAGCCAGATCGAGCCGCGATGGCCCCAGGGCTCGAAGCAGTGCGAACATGCCCAGCGTGGAAAAGTCACGACGCCGGGATCTCAGTGGCTGCCTCAACTTAGAGGCCTCCCAGGTGGGGTCGGAGTAGATGGGGTCGACGGATCGCGCCACATTGCCGATGCATCGCAAGTGCATCGCCAATGCATCCGCGATGCACCGGCGACGTCGCCGATGCATCAGCGACGTCGGCGTGAGGACCATCGGGCTCCACACCGAGCTGCATCGCCGATGCATCGGCGATGCGGCGCGCTCCTCCGACCCCATCTGCTCGGACCCCATTTGAGACGCCTAGAACTAAGTCGGGCGTGTCCCCCTACAGGGGGATTTTCGACGAAAAATAAAAAATACCCCCCAAATGCCGCCAAATGGTCAAACAACACTCAACAAATAGTCCCCAGACTACTTTTTGACTACTTTTGAACATTCCTCCTGTAGAGGGGCAAGCCCGACTTGAGCCTAGAAGCATCGCCCTCCTCTTGGCGGCGCGCAAAAGGGGGTAGAGGGAGGGGGGAGGGCTTCTTAGAAGGAGGCTGCTTCTTAGAAGGCGCCGGCCTTACATCTATAGATAAGGCCCGCGCCTTCTAAGAAGCAGGGGTGCTTCTAAGAAGCCCTCCCCCCTCCCCCCGCCCCCCTCTGCGCGTGGCTGATTCTCTGAACGACAGGGCGGTGCGAGGTGGGCGCGAGCACGCTTGGCCGCGCCCACCCCGCCAGTGCATTGGCGCAGCGCGCCGCAACCCC